TCAATTAACGCGAAACAAAAAAAAATAAAAATTGTTTCTCATATATAATATTCACATTTCACACTTGCGAGTTGAAACGTCAGAGGATTCTTCCTTTTATTTTTTTAAGCATGGTGAAAACTGCACCCTGCTTTTTTGCAAGTACAATAGCTAGTCATGAGAACATGTTATTAGAACAATATCTCATGTGAGACGACTCTTTTTAGGTACCAGGAATTGTAAGTGGAAAGGGTTACATTAGTTTTAATTAGCCAATTTCGGAGTCAGATTTTGTAAGAAAATTAAAATATAAAGAAGTAAATACACAAAATCAAAGAAATCTAACATCTACCATCAATAAATTTTTCTTTTTCGAAGGAGATTCGGATGAACCCCTTGCTCTCATCTAGATTTATATATGTTGTTAAGGTCAACGTCATATACAATATAGTCTCATTGTAAGTTGTGATCATGACAAACATTAATTAAGAGATAAAATGATTGAATTATAATTATTTTTTTCTTAACAATAAGAGTTAAATGTTAAAATATAACAATCTTTTCATGTTAATTTCCCTATTCATTAATGATAAACATATTTTACTTCCACGTTCATAAACGAACGTGATTATCACTTCCAATTTTTTAAAACCTAGCTATGTTCATGAAAAATTAAAAAAGCTAGAAATAAGTTTAAAATGTGACAAATAACCATTAATTGAGTAAGTATTAAGGTTAAATAAAAAATAGGGAAAAGGGTCAAATATGCCCCTAAACTTTTCGAAAAGGTTTAAATATGCCCTCGTTTAAAGTTTGGTCCATTTATACCCTCGTCGTCCAATTATTGGTACAAATATGCCCTTATGGGCGTTAGTTGGTCACCTCAAAATATCCAGCGCATTTTACTTTTCTTTAATTGCCCAAATGGATTTTCCACGTCATTTTAATATTATATCGTGGCATTTATATTACAAAAGAGAAAGGGTCAAATATGCCCCTAAAAATCCGACCCATTAAACCCTTTTATTATCCATATTTTATGGTTCAATTATATACCCCTCTTTTAAATAATTTATCCTACCATATCCGATCCAAAACCCATATCCCTTATCCCCCAAAACAAATCCCTAATTTCCTAAACTTTCTTTTCCCCAAAAACACAAATCGCTAATTTCTCCCAAGAACACAAATTGCTAATTTCCTTCGTCCTCATACGCAACAAACCTGTACATGGGATCGCTAATTTCCTAAAGGACACAAATCACTAATTTCCCCCAAGAACACAAATCGCTATTTTCCTTCGTCCTCATACGCAGCAAACCTGAACATGGGGGAAAAGGAAGTTCAGCAAAATTAGGGATTTGCTTTGGGGAAAAGGGATATGGGTTTTGGGTCGGATATGGGTAGGATTATTTAAAAGAGGGGTATAATTGAACCATAAAATATGGGTAATAAAAGGGTTTAATGGGTCGAATTTTTAGGGGCATATTTGACCCTTTCTCTTTTTTAATATAAATGCCACGATGTAATATTAAAATTACGTGGAAAATTCATTTGGGCAATTAAAAAAAAAGTAAAATGCGCTGGATATTCTGAGTTGGCCAACTAATGCCCATAAGGGCATATTTGTACCAATAATTGAACGGCGAGGGTATAAATGGACCAAACTTTAAACGGGGACATATTTAAACCTCTTCGAAAAATTTAGGGACATATTTGATTCTTTTCCCTAAAAATATATTGAATTGAAACGAACCAAACCAAATCCAGAACTGGGCTGTTGGCTTTCTTTCATCTAATGGGCCTGCGTGCTATGGGCCCAGTTTCTATACCATCCTACCCAAGCCCGGCCCACTTAGAGCCCTGTATTTAAAAAGATAGCAATCAACTGGACTTTTCATCATCGGCTTACAAACCCTAAATCGAGGGTTTTCTCTTACAGGTATCTTTCTTATCTACCGCTCTCTCATTCACATTGATGCATCATTTCTAGGGTTTGAATTTGGATATATTGATTGATATTGTAAGATTTTGTGTCCTTTTGTTGTTGAGAAGACGTGAAAATGATTGAATTTTTTTTAGCTCCTGATATATCTGAGAACTGACTTTTTTGTGTCTGGGATTTTTTATTGACAGGTGAGTTTGAAGGAGGAGAGATTTTTGAGCCATGAGGTATGAATGAAGCTTAAAATTTCTGTTTTTTTTCTTTCAATTTAATATGTTATTTGTTTTTACTGTGTTATATCTTCTAAGTTTTGCTTCGATAATCAATTTTCTGCATTGTTTTGCTGATTATAAGTAGTTGATCCACCTTTCCATGCAATTTTTATTCATATTTTATGTTTTTAAAAAGGCAGGAATACTACGCATCTGAAGCTTTTATACTGTTAGAATATTGGTTATAACAACCTAGTGTTATTTGGCATTATTTTGATTTTCTTTGACTTTTATTATGTGTTTAAGTAGTTACTCTTTTGATTATTTCCTTGGTTTAAGTGAAAGAATCCCTTATTACAATTATTTTTTTCAAAGAACTCGTCTTTTTATGTGGAAACCACAAGCATTATGCTTGAGAAATGCTCCTCCCGTGTTCAGCATTTGAATTGCAGTTTTGATTATTTTTTCATTTTTATAAGATCCTTTACTATATGACCTTTTTGTTTAGTGATAGTTGTGTATCAATTATTAGAAATCCCTTTTGATATCCATTTAAAGGTGTTGCTGATTATTCTAGACCTTTTGTTTAGTAATAGTTGTGTCTCAATTATTGAAAATCCCTTTTGGTATCCATTTAAAGGTGTTGCTGTTTATTCTAGTTTTAATTTGATTTTGATTCTTTCACAGTAAGCTTCAGAGTGAGGCCCTCAGAGAAGCCATCTCTGTGATTAAGAATGATTCAGCGGAGAAGAAAAGGAAGTTCAGCGAGACCATTGAGCTCCAGATTGGATTGAAGAACTATGATCCCCAAAAGGACAAGCGTTTCAGTGGATCTGTTAAGTTACCACACATTCCTCGCCCTAAGATGAAGATCTGTATGCTTGGAGATGCTCAGCATGTCGGAGAGGTAATTTTAATGAATATGTTAACTAGTGGGCAATATCTGAACTGATTATGTTAAGAACTATGCTATTGTTGGAAGGCTTTACTGAACTAACATCTCCTGCTTGCAAGATTTAGCTTAACAATGGGATGATTAATTTCTCATTAAAACAAGCCTGAAACATCAGAGTTTTTTTTCCTAGCCCACCAGACATGACACCTTGATGTTGGATTGTTATTGTTATTGATATTGTCTTGGGAATATTGTGTCTGTTAATATCAGATTAGCCAAAAAACTGCATCTCTTTGTACCTTTCCTGAGTCTTCAGTTTATTTGTTTAGAAAGAATGATTAAAACTTTGTGCTTTTTATGTTTGCAGGCAGAAAAGATTGGTTTGGAGTACATGGATGTTGAAGGCTTGAAGAAGCTCAACAAGAACAAGAAACTGGTCAAGAAACTTGCAAAGAAATACCATGCTTTCTTGGCTTCAGAATCTGTCATCAAGCAGATTCCCCGTTTGTTGGGGCCTGGTCTGAACAAGGCAGGCAAGTTCATAGATTATCTTAATTCTTTATATGCTGTTTGTTTATGTTTGCTGCTTTTCTTCATCCAGTAGAATGTTGCATTTGTCACTTTTTTTCAGTGGCAATCATGTGCTCATGGTAGTTTAGTCCAAGCTTGTATGTTCACCTTCAAATTCAATGTCTGAGTTGCTTTTTCCATTTGTAAATGCAGGTAAGTTTCCCACCCTTGTTTCCCACCAAGAGTCTCTTGAATCCAAGGTTAATGAGACCAAGGCCACAATCAAGTTCCAATTGAAAAAGGTGCTCTGCATGGGTGTTGCTGTTGGAAACATGGATATGGAGGAGAAGCAGATCTTCCAGAATGTGCAAATGAGTGTCAACTTTCTTGTTTCATTGCTGAAGAAGAATTGGCAAAATGTGAGTACCTCTCGGAGTCCTAGTTTAACCATCTCTATTTCAATATTTTCCTGGATTGAATACTTTACATTCCAGTTCTAATTTCTGCTATGTTTTTGTCAATACAGGTTAGGTGCTTGTACTTGAAGAGCACCATGGGAAAAACACAACGTATCTTTTAAGAAGATTTCTGTTTCTGTTGTTGGAAATTTTTCAGGCTTTCTGGCTGTGAGCTGTAGACACTTTGAAAATTTTGGGTAGTTGTGATTTTTGTCATCTTGTTTTGAATATCTATAAAACTTTTAGGGCTATGTCTGCTTTCTCTTCGTTAATGATGTTTTCACTGATCCCAGTAACAATCCGAGATGCCAATTGCAGTACATTACTTTATTCTGTAGTTTTTGACACTGAAACATAAAACTGTGTTGGTTTTTATAACAATCTCACAGTACATCATAAAAAGCTTCTTTGGTGTAATATTCTCTAAGAGACTTGAAAAAAGAATATATTCAAGCCTACAAATTATTTACAATGTCTTTAGTAAAAAGGGCAACTATAAGTTGCAATTTTATTTTTTTAATTGACTCTTTCTAATTAGCCTTCGTGGTTAGCTTATAAAGAAATTGGTGTAGTTACCTTGAGAAGTAAGCTTATTATTAAACCAAAACTAAAGGTGATAAAACAATACTCGTTTCAAGTTTATTATTCACGAGGCATCACCACTCTAAAGAATTAACAGACTGAAAGATTGATGTATGAGAGAGATTTAGATCGATGATGCCTGCGTTGTAGTCCGAGTCTTGTAGTGTTCCATTTCTAAGTTGACCGTAGAAAGTATTTCGCACTAATGATTTTGGAGAGTGATAAATATCTCGTAATATTAATTTAGATTCACATGAACTAGTTTGGAGAGCGATAAATATTTTGTAAAATTAATTTAGATTCATGTAAATTAGCTCGAACAATAATAGTTTTTGTTTTGATCATATTTCGAAAAAGAGTACAAAATGAGTAGGGAAGGGCAAATAGGTAAAGACTCCCATTGTAATTCCAAAAAGGGTAAAGAAGAACCCATGGGCTGCATCTTAATTCGGCAATCCCCAAAACATAACTCACTCTATATATTTGTTGAAGGTGACATTTTGAGATTGCCTAACACATTGCTCTCATTTGGAGTCTTTCTAATCCTCTCTGCTCGTCCTTGATTACTCCGCCTTCCTTCTCCAGTAAGAAGCCTCCCTTCTTTTTAAAAGAAATTTAATGTTTTTGAACTTTTTGGTTATGATTCTGGACTTGTGTGTTTCATGTGAATATCTCGTGTTATGCTTGTTGATGTCTTCTGAGTATTGGGTTTGTCTTGTTTTAGTATTGGTTGTTGAAATTTTCAATTTTTCCCTTTCCATTTGTTGGTGAAATTCATGGTGTAGGATTAAAGGTTGGATCTTTAGTCTTAGCTGAATTTTGGGTGTTTGGAACTACTCGTTATTCTTTCACTCTAAATTCAGTTTGATGTTTTTTTTCTTGTTTACCTGAATGACATGCAGATGGAAGATAGCTCTTTCGCTTTCTGGTTTTAGTAGTAACTTTTTACAAGTGTCTAGCAGGTCACTCTATATGGAGTTTCGAGTGAAGAGCAGTACCTTATTGAATGTTAAATTGATTACAAATTACAATCACTTTGTTAGAAAAATCAGAAATGTAAACCCTGTTAGTAACTTAGTTTTACCTGATACGCAACATTAATTGGGTGAAGATAAAAATTCTAGTTTCATTTGAATTCAATAGATCTTATACTTTTTCTTTTTTGAGCACCAACGAAGATATTTTTTCTTGAACACTAGGTGTTATAAGTAGTTAACTTTTTTTAATCAGGTGAACATGTCAACTGTCGGACTTGCTGCAACCTCTATAGTAAAAACTGCTCCTCACACCCAAAGAAAGAGTGTCTTCATTAAGACCCCAGTGTCTCTGGGGTTTGTAAGGAGCATTTCTAAGGGCTTTGGATTGAAGTCTAGCTCTGGCTTTAGAGTAGCAGCATCAGCAGTTTACAAGGTCAAGTTGGTTTGTCCAGATGGTGTTGAGCATGAACTCGAGGCATCTTCAGATACTTACATACTCGATGCAGCTGAAAATGCTGGAGTCGAACTCCCTTATTCTTGCAGGGCAGGTGCATGCTCAACATGTGCTGGGAAGATTGTATCAGGATCTGTTGATCAATCCGATGGATCTTTTCTGGATGATAATCAAATAGAGGAGGGCTATGTGCTCACATGTGTTTCTTACCCAACCTCAGATTGTGTGATTCATACTCACCAGGAATCTGATCTTTACTAGTTATTTATATATCAAATTATGTGTATGCTCTTGTTTTAGGTTGAAGCAGTTGGAAAATTGTTCTGTAATTGAGAATGGTCAGGTGTAGAATTCAATCAGGAACCTTTTGTGTTTGAATGATGTTCGTTTAATGAATGGTTCACTTTGTGAAAATGATATCCGCACCTGGTGTTTATAGCAAACTACATCCATTTGATCATGTGCACATGAATAATATCTACCAACAATGAACAACTAGAGAGATATGTGTCGTAAATGAGACATAAATCCAGTATTAAATGTACCTCTATATAAATCCAGTGAAAGAAAACTTGAAGAAAAACAAAGTCACAGGAAACATATTTTGAACTGAAGAGAAAACTGTAGGTATTATTTTTGAGACACAAAAGAGTAATTGTTGGCGATGATCTGAAATCAGGAATTGTATTTGCTTAGACGCACTTTCCTTTCCATGCGATATCTTTCAAGACATCTAGTACATGTCCGGCGAATAAAATTGGCAACACAGGGTATTGGTATCCACATTGATCCTGCAACTTGTGTAAGCTTGGAAAAAATAAAAAATCCATGAACTCCGAATAGTGCAGCAAATGAACATGCAGCGGCGATAACCCACTCGCCGTTGTGATTTGGCGATATGAGTATAACAGACATTGAATAGGTGACCATGAGAGACACAAGTGACCATAGCAACAATGCAGTGTTTTCAACATGGAAGGGCAGCAGGGCAAAAGTCAGAGCAACAGCAAGAGCAAAAGTAATGGAATTCATTATTAAAAATGGGTAAAAAAGACCTTTTTTTGGTCCCCTTACGCTTGGAAATGAATGTTTGTGGATTGAGGAATTGGTTGTCTTGGCAGGCATAACCAGAGAGGTCTTATTATTGTTATTAGTGTCGTCGTCTTTCGTTTCCCAACCGCCACCTGGAGGACTGAGAACAGCTTGAAAACTAGCCGTTACAAGCAAAGTAGTAACTATCAGGTATGCATTTCGCGCATCCTCTGTTAATCCTTTACGTGAATCCACAATTGCTGCTGCATGTGATCTGATTACGTTGGTGAGGTCAGTGAAATGTGGAATATCTTGAAGAAGATCCGCCATTGTAAACTTCTTAGGAAGTTCTGATGTCGTCATGGCACCAACCTTATCCAATATTTTCTTAATTTTTACATAAACTTGGTTCGGATTATCATTCGAAGCTGAAAATGTTATTTGATCCTCAACAATATCAAGAGCTGTCTTATCATACCGATTCGTAGCATTAACATACGCTTGTTCCTTTGCTAAAATCTTCACAACCTGCAGATCATCATCATATATAATAATAAAATAACCAAAAATGAATATATATTGATGACTTGAAGAAACATGATATACCTCAACTTGACTTGTTTCTACAGCAATGTGCAACACTGTGGATCCCTCGTTATCTTTCCAGTCCAATATTCTTTTGTTGTTAGTCCGGTAGAGCCAACCCATTAGAACTTTAAAAGCCGGCAACTTGTTACTTAACACAGCGAGATGCACTGCTGTTTCTCCTCGAATGGTCACTTCCTTGATTGCGGTGGGGCAAGCAAGGAGAAACTCGCCGAGAAGCTCAACATTGTCAGTTTGAGCAGTTACATAGTGCAGCGGTGTTAGCCTCTCCCTGCTTCTGACTTGAATGAGTTTAGGATCATATCTTATGAGTACCTTCACAGTGTCTACCTGTCCATTACTCAGGGCTATATCCCCTGGGGTCCAGCTTCCTTCCGAAACTAGGCATTAAGCTCAACATTTCAATGGCAAAAGCAGTGTTCCCACAAGCTGCAGCTGTGTGCAAAGGGGTTTCTACAAATTCTAACGCGTCAATCTCTTTAAGAATTGATGGATTTTCTTCAATTATTCCGTAAAAAGCATTAATATCCCCATTTTGAGCTGCTCGCTTCATCTCATCCATTTCCTATCAAACACTCAATAAAATTAGTCGCCTAAATACAATCTAAACTATAAATGTAGGAGACCTCATCCTTTTAACTAAAAAGGTCAAAAATCTCAATTTCCTCCTTAAAGCTCTCGCTTTAGTGGCTTGACAGGAAGCAGTATGGAAAGTGAATGTGTGTGTAAGTAAGAGAAAGAGATACCTTTGTAAATGAAGTATGGATGTTCACTCTTCAGTAGTTTGTGAATTGTGATTAAACAATTGGGTGCATAAGTCTAGTAAAATACTAATTGGGAGACTTGTGTTGGGGGGAAAAGTATCAACAGTACTAGTACCTTCTATAAAGGAAAGGGGTCAACGGGAGGAGGATTGTTTAAACCTTATAAGGCAAAAGCGCTCAAAGGGAGGAGGATTGTCTAAATCTTATAAAGAGTTCACTTATCTCATTAACCATCGATGTGGGACTTTTGTCATTCTTTAACACCCCACTTCACGCCCAGTGTTTAGCATCTGGTGCGTGGGCAATTTTGATTTTGGAGAGCCCCAACTTCGGGTGAGACGGACCCTGTTTTGATACCATGTGAAATTAGGTCTTACGCCTAATTCACACCCAAAAGTCAACTCAAAGAAAGGAGGATTGTCCAACCCTTATAAAGAGTCCACCCATCTCATTAAACACCGATGTTTAACTTTTGTCATTCTTTAACCCATATATTTCAAAACGTACAGAAATAGTTTAGATAAATATTATAGGTAAGTAATAGGGTAAAGGCGTAGGGATAGACCGTAACAGAGAGAAGAATAAAGGAGGAAAAGAAAAAAGGCAGCAAGAGATGTGTTACTCCAAGAATTTGATGTTATGTTACACGAGGACCAGAGAGAGTAATTTCTTTATAAAATATATGTGAACTAAAAGAAATAGGTGTATCTAAAAATGAATTAACGATATAATTTTCTTGTTCACGGTCAGTCGAGAAAAAATAATCTGAAATGTGATAATGGATAATTTTAATTTATTTTTCTTATTTTTATTTTAATTTATTTTTTTAATAATTTTTTAATTCTACCTTTTTATGTAACATGTTTAAAATCATAAGATTAAAAAAATCAAAATTGAATTGACTTATCTTAAAGCAGGAAAAGATTAAAAAAATACCAAAAAACGCGCTCAATTAATAGTTTGGAATAAAATGTCATTGCAGTCAATAGTTTAGTCTAAAAATACCCTTGAACTATTGATGACAATGACCCAAACTATAAAACGAGAGCATTTTGATCAATTTCACATAGTTCAAAGACATTTTTAACCTATTTCGTATTTTAAGCGAGCAAAATAATTTTTATACGTTTTTTTAGTGTTTAGGTAAATTTAAAAAAAAATGCTTATGAGCACTTGATTTATACAAATCTTTAATTGAACATGACATTCAATAATCTTTTTTTCATCATATCGAAATCAAAATCAATCAAACAAATTGAAGCGAGATAATGTTATTTTATTCCTAATTTAATTGAATGGATTATTGTCTACATCTTGAAATCGCGTCAAAAATACTTTATTCTAAATGAATCTACTGGTTTATTAATACATAAATGGAGAAGGGCCTAAAATGCCTCTTATGTATTTTAATTGAAATAAAATTACCCTCCATCCATCTTTCGACCTTAAAATATCGCAGATGTCCATCTTTCAGTTCAAAAATATCATTATGTCTAATGGATCATACTCATTAAGTTAATGGAGGGTAATATTAAATCAAATTTCATAGTTTAAGGGCATTTTAAGCCCTTCCCGTTAAAATAATTTGAAGTTACTTAACATAAAAACTCACGTGATTGACTTGATTTTAAATTTGATAGTAAATTTAAAATTATATAAAGGTTGGTATCTACTCTCTACTCTCCTCCCTCCACGGTCCTTCACTTTCTATCTCTTTTATTTTTTTATATGGATCTTGTCCACCATTTTTTTATTTATGAAAAAGAAAAAAAAGGAAAATAACGATGCATTCATATAGAAATAATTAGTTCAATAAAAGATGAACTAATCAAGCAAATATTGACAAATATTATATTTTTCTTTTGTGTGTATCCATAATTGAAAACAAAAAATTAAAAATAATAATTTCTCTTATCCGTGCACCCTCATCCCATCATGATAATAATACTAATTAAAATAATATAAAATCTAAGTTCATTTCAAATTAAGTCCCAATATTCTAATTAATAATAAGAGATTAAAAAGAAATAAAAGAGAAAATAAACAAGACATTTGAATAATTGGGAGAAAACTTTATATTGATGAAAATAATAATTCTTTTATATGGAAAATCAATCGAGGTAAGTATGAATTTTAGTTGGATCCTCATTTATGAGTTGAGTTATGATATAATAAATTGAGGTTGATTTAAAATAGACCATTAGGAAGATATTATGAAATTAATTATTTTTTTCAATATTATTTTCAAGTGAATCGGGTCAAAATATTAGTTGTAAGTGGGTTTTTTTAAAATAGAAAATAAAATTTTTAAAAATATCATTTTTATTATTTATATGAGAAAGGTTTAAATTGTAAATAATAGCAAACTATTAATTCAAATTAAATGCTATAAACATAGTTTGATTTAATTGTACCCCATAGTAAATTGTTGTTATTTCACCTCTCTCTTGGTGAATCTCGTTCTCTCCCTCGTCTCTCTCGCTTTTACACAAATGCAAATGCATAAAATATGTTTGCGTTTGTATAAAGTGAGAGAAAATTGTATGTATATATATATTTTCGTTTTCTTCTCTCCCCTCTCCCAGAATCTCGCTCGTCGGTCTCTTCCTCGCCTTTCTCGCTTATACAAACAAAAATGTATGAATTGTATTTCCTTTTGTATAAAATGAGAGAAAATTGTATATACACATGCAAGTACATATATCTTCGTCCTATACACTTATAATTATACAATACAAATATTCTCCTACCCAATTCTCTTTTGTCTTTCTCTCTTTCTCATTTTATACAAACACATATTTATACAATTAATTTTTTGTATATGTATACCGAAACTGAAACAAATTATACAATTGCTTTTTTTTGCATATATATAGCGAGATATACATATTTATGTTTGCTATGAAGCACTATTATGCAAACTATATTTATAGCATATAAATATAATTTTTGTGTTTCCTCTATGTGAAAGTTGCTCTAAGAAATATAATAAATAAATATTTAATAATTTTATTTTAAGAGAGCTATTAAAATTAAAGAAAATATGAATCAAAAGATTAACATCGAGTGCAGGATATTTTCGATTCGATAACGTTAAAAATATTTCAAGATCGATAGATAACTAAAACGTAATTTTATATCAATTCAAATACTTTATATACGTTTTAGAACCTTCTCACGTACAAAAATTAGAGAGAAGGCGACTTATCAGCCTTTTAAAAAGCCCGTCTGTCTTCGCATAACAAGTTGATTTTTTTCTGATGCAATTCCTTAACCAACAATAAAGAAATGACAATTGCTTTTATTTTTGCGTAAATTGACAAGTAAAATTATTCCACATGTGATATTCATGTACTCTTTTTATTATTTCAATAATTTTACAGTTTCAGATATACAATGGAAACCACCAAAATTTATTTCATTTCTAAATTGAGAGGTACTCCTGTAAAACAGGAACTATTAATAAACATCACATTTCTCTTGACTTTATCAACTATCCCATTCTCATCCTGTGTTGTTTTGTGTATGTTTCTATATCTACCTCCAACGTAACTCACTTATCATCGAAATAATTGGAACGGTTTTAAAAAGTCTAATTTTAGTAACGATTTAAATTTGGATATAAACTAATTAAATAAACCAAGTCATTGACACCTTATCTTCCCATCCTCACCACAAGAATCGCCTATGTTTCACCATTAGAAAAACCAAGCTGAAGTTAACTCTTTTTGTTGCTTCTCAGTTCTTAGCTCAATTAACAACAACTCTGTTTTAAATATGGTTACCTGTGGAGGCCTAAAACACTTTTTTGACAAACCATTCCCAGAAAATTCAACAATTCTTGATTCCACTTCTTCATGGAATCAGATTAAATCAAGAAAACCAAATAAAGATTCATCCTTTATGGAGATTTTTGATGAATTAAATTCTGTTTCATCGTTTTCTTTTAATTATCTCCCTCCATTGTCCACTGCCACCACCTCATCGTCGTCGTCATCATCGACATGTTCTTCTTATAATAATTCGTCATTATCTTTCGAAGCAATTCACCAATCTGGGGTTGAAGGGAAAAACAGAGACCCCATTTATCCACCAAGCAGTCAGAATAAACATTACAAGCATAGTGATAGCTTTTCTTCAAGAAATTCAGATTGTCTTTCAATATGTACAGAAAGCCTTGGATTTGAAAGCTGTGATGATGTTGAAGATATTATGAATGCATTGAGCATTGGGAATGATCAAGAACACGAAGAAATTAGATCAACAAACATTCATAATCAGGGGATTATAAGTCATGAATATACAAAAATTAAATCAAGAACAAATAAAGGGGCATTATTGCCTCCTCCAATTTCTTGCATTGGTAGAAATGGAAAGCCCTGTGTTTGTTTTGAATCTTTTAGAGAAAATGGTAGGTTTATTCTCAAGGAAGTTAAAATTCCTGAGTGGGAATTCTTGCATGCATGTAGAGAAGATGGACGATTGAAGCTACAGATTGTTCAGTCAGATGACGAATTTTTCGATGAAGATGAAGAATATGATGATGATTCAGAGGATGTTGAAGAAGATGAATCAAGTGATGACGACGACAATGATTATGAGAAATGAGAAGTTGGAGAATCTTGCTTGAAAACAACTTAGGAATTAAAAAAAATAGATATCATAAAAAGCAGAGGCGAAGCGAAGCCAATATTTAAAAACATACGAGTTCAGATTTCTAATCCTTCTAAGTTACTTAGTTACATATAAATACAGTGTTCGGACCAAAGCATTGGGACGAACCTGAAACAGAAACTCTAGCTCCGCTCCTGCACAAAGACAAAGGGGTGTTTGATTTTTTTATTTTTTATTTTTTTGGTTTTCTTGTAAAAAAAAAGGTTTAAAACTACTCTTTTTCTCTCTCTGTTTCAATTATGAAAATAAAGAGGAATCGGAAAATGTAATTCTGAATTTCAGATTTAGATGATGATGTAAAGGTAGTAGCAAGAGAGTAGTAATGTTCATGGGGTAAATCAATGTATTCCCAGCAATAACATGAAACGCGGAATACTCGATTTCATGCTCAAATAAAATTTAAACTTGTATTTATGTGTAGCTTAGTATTTTCGATTCTGCCTTGCATTATTAAAATTAAAATGTTATTTTGTCAATGTGATAATACAATGTCTTTGTAATTTTATACTTTGCACCTAATGATGTCTAAATATGAGTGATTTTATAAATTTTACTAGGAATTCACAATGTTCATATTCTGTGAGCATAGCAAGAGATATATTCGATATTTATAGAAGTCAATGCAGCTAAAGGAGAAATAAAATATATATATATTATATGCATGGAATTTCATTATTTTGGGTCCAACTTTTATTTGATTGAAAACAATGGCGTTTTAGTCAAGTTATTTTTACTTTTTTGACCAAAAAAAGTATTACTAGTTTACTATATACGATTAAATAAACAAATACTCTAGTCATTACACCTAAAACAGAAATTCAAAAAATAACAAAAAAGTATGGTAAATGATATATTAAGAAAGGTAAGAAGAAATATTCCACCTAAAAGCTAAGTTGTCTAATTTTACTGGTTCAATTGATGAATTCAAAATATGATTTATTAATTTGTGTTTAATTTTATTTTTATTATGACATATTATTAATTTAATATTTAAATAACTTCTATTTTTTTAAATTATAGTAAATCATCCTTCTGTTTTTTGATATTTCTAAAAAGGATATAGCAAGTCAAAGATGGAGCACTGTGATAATACATATTATATCATATATTCTTACGCTATGTTTGAATCATTGTTATCTATTGTATTGTAATGTATGGTTATTATATCTACAATGTTTCTTTTGATTGTTACTTAAAATGTATTATACTGTATTGTCAAATTTCGTTGTTACGTAACAATGAAAACCCTTATTTTATGAAACAACCAATTTGATGTGTTTCCATTGTTACTTAATTTTTTTTTAATTATATCTTTACATAATATTTTTAAAATACTATTTTGCCCTTTACTTTATTTATTTAAATCTAGAATAATTAATGATATTTAACTAAATTTATAAATTATAATACAATACGATATAATCAAACTAAACAATTAAAATGTTAGAATAACAAACAATACAATTTAGCAAAATATTGTATCTATCATACAATACAGTATAATAGAGTATAATACAATACGATATATTATGAAACAATGGATAACAATGATTCAAATAAAATGTTAATATTTATGAATCATATTAATGTTAGGTTAGGAGTAATAAAGAGGGAATATATACTATACTTTTACTATTATTAAGAATATTGAGGATGCATGTAAATGGTCACGTTTTTAGTGCGAAGGAATTTTTTCGACAACACAAAAAGCAGCTCCACTACTTCCGTAGTCGTGTTTCCCTTTAACCCTATTTTGCCTCCGCAATTTCTCCATGGATTCAGGCGGCGGCGGACCCAATAATTCCCGGTACCAGCGAAAATTGCCGTCGTCCGATCGTTTCCTCGGCATTTTCTCCACCGCTCACTCACAATCCCAACCCTCTGCTTCGACTTCCGCCGCCGAAGTTGAGCTCAGCGAGCACGACATTTTTGACGCATCCTCCGATGCAATTCAACACTCCACTCCTTCAACTTCAACAAGTCCGATCGCTAATTATCATCGGTCCCCTAACCATCTCTCCCATCACAAACATTTCGGTATCCTAGCCGCGTTGCCGGAGTCTGAGTCCCACGCGCAGGCTTTGCTCTCCGTTTCTTCATCCTCCTCGTCTTCCTCTACGTCGTCGGCTCGTTTAATTCCTACAATTCCTAAACGGCCGCCAGTGGATCGTGTTAAATATCTCCAGTCTGCACCGGTGAATGTACCTGTAATGTCAGCAGCAGCGCGCCGAAGAGGCAGGCATTTCGACGATGTTGATGATGATGTCGACGGTGGTGAGGTGTTACCACCGCATGAAATTGTTGCGTCGAGAAAGACACCAATTTTGGCATCCTCTGTGGTTGAGGGAGCTGGGAGGAAGTTGAAAGGGAGGGATTTGAGGCAAGTCCGAGATGCTATCTTGCAGAAGACAGGTTTTCTTACCTGAATTTTCTAGTAAATTTGAGATAATTGTTAGGTTTCTTCTTGAATTTGTATCAGTATCAGGGCTGATTGATAGCTGTGGTTAGAAAGTATCCGCAGTAATAAGTTACATTGTCAATTAAATGTGCATGCCATATAGAGAAACACATTATTTAATTATCATCATGGTCATTGGCATTAGCAGTACCGGTTGCAAATCCAAGAAGATTGTCTTTGTCAGCTGCAAGTTGGAAGTGAAAGCTTACCAATTGCAATTTCCAGGCTTATAGGTCTAAACTAGGTGGGTGCTTGGTGGAGGTTTTAACCAAACTAAGCCATTATATAAAGTCATTCACCAAAATAATATGTTTTTCTAAAATTTTACAAAACTAGTATAAACGTATTCCACAGTAACGTTTTAGGATATATTTTATTTTTTATGGCGTCAGATTGATATATGTCACTCACAGTAACGTTTTACTCTTAAAACGTTACTTACAGTGACGTATATCAACCTAATGCGGTTAGTTTTTAAAAAATAAAATATACCTAAAACGTTATCCTGAAATACGTTTATACTAGTTTTGTAAAATTTTGGAAAAATGTATTACTTTGATAAATTATTTTATATAATAACTTAGTTTGGTTAAAAATTCGTGCTTGTGCCTGTCCTCTAATATGTAAGGGCCCAAAGTTAAGATGGGGCTTATCAAAGCTTATTATATTAGATAGAATGGATAGGAAAGAAAAGAAAAGCAGGGATGGCATTTGCAGTTAGCAGCCTCTGTTTCTCCTTCCAACTAAAAGCGAAGTGCCAGCATGATATAAAAAGTTCTTGTTTGAGCTATTGTGAGCGCGAAAAGCCTGTTGGCTGTTTTGTCGCATAAAGGTTGTTACCTAATATGTTTTTCTCTTTGCTAGCTATCACTTTAAGGTGTGCGCATGGGCACATCTAGGTAGAAGCAAGGAGGTTCTTTTATTCGAAAAAAGCTCAACTCTGTGTTAAACGGGTTCAGTTCCTGCTATTTCTAATCTTTTTAGCTTTAGGCGTTTTTTAAATATTCTTTACACACACGCCTTCGGCAAATATCTTTCCTCCACCCCTGGGTGTGTGCATATTTTTCAAATGCTTTACAGTTACAAGTGCTGGTCTTATTTATAATCTTAGAATTGCCTTATTTGATGAACCCTGTTGAGTCAAACTTGTAACATTGGAAGGCCTATGAAAGTGTCAAGGAGAATGAACAGTATTATTGCTGAGGCATCGTTTCTACTTTCTACACTAGAAGTCAACAGGGAAGAGAGTGGAGAGACTGTATCTAAGTCTACTTTGTTTCTTGGTATTTGCGCTCGAGTCATTACTAAATTTTTGTTGAAACGGAGAGGAAGTTCTTTTGACATATCAAGATTCGCAGGAGAAGAAATAATCACAGCTGTAGTTCTTCCCTCTTCCACTGTATGGACATCCTCTGGGTACTATAATTTCTGATTTGCACAATTAGTAGCAGTTCATTGTAAGTGCTATTGTCCCTCCAACTTCCTCCTATATTCCCCATCTTAATCCATCTCAAACTTTTGTAATGGCAAGTATCAAATCCCATGTGGTGAAGAAATTCATGTTGGATAGGTAAATGGTTAGATTTCGGAAGAAACAATATGTACTTGTAGTAGATGACCTTTGGTTAGTCAAGGTCGTGTGCTTCAACAAATATTTCGGATATATTAAAAAGAAAAGCAGTACATCAAATTTGTTACAGATATAATCGTCCATGCAGCAGTGTCATGCAATATTATATATTAGTCCATGTACATGACTGCACAGTCTAGTCAAATAAAAGTTTCTGGACAAGGGTGACAATTTTGATATTTGAAGAGATAAGAACTCCATGGTAACCATATTAGAAGACAGTCTGTGGGTTTAGTAGTGAAAAAGCTCAGGGTAAGTGTAAGATCGTGGGGATAGAGAAACTAGAGAGAGCTCAACAAACTTGCTTCTCCTTGGTCCTAACTATGTGTTGTAAACTTGCTACTCCCATCAGTTCTAACCATATAATTTAACCTTGCTACTTCAATCCTAACTATGTCACGTACTTCAGCATTGGATTCTCAGATCAGTTTTTGGTTCTTCATGAAAATGTTTCAGTTATCTTTGCATATGGAGAATATATGTAATTTGAAAGATGTTAAAAGCAGTATATTTGAAGGCGAGTATAAGGTGCTCCTTGGGGCGTCCTGGTGAAAGGTGCAGTAACTTGCGTCAAGGTGTGCGTGTGAATGGTGCACACTATGGGGTCGGTAGGACGCCTGGATTTCCTGCATTCCTGGCAGCAGGTTATGCCCCCAACGGTGAAGGGAAATTATGTAAGCCTTCAATTTTCAAAACCTCTCTTTGTGGTTTGTTTACCCGGTATGCTTCTACGTATATCTGTTAAAGTTAAGAAGCTCACTGTTATCACCTTTCAAGTTTCTCTTTGTAGTTCGTTTACCTAAGAACCAAATTCTTTTCAGTATACCTGAGAAGTGAGCCCCAAATTCACTCTCTTCAATGACCCTCTTCCCTCCCTGCCCCAAAAGAAAAAAGAAAGAGAACATCTTGAGTGAGTTGCGCCATTCCCCCGTCTTCTCGACCCATTGGAGGAAATACCAGCCTAAAGTCCAAGATTCTTGCAAAATTGTTACTCCCTCCGTTTCACAAAGAATGATCTGGTTTGATTTGACACGGAGTTTAAGAGTATGAGTAAACTTTTGGATATTGTGGTGCTAAATTAAAGTTAAGTGAAATGTACAAAACTGCCCTTTGATTTTGTTGCCTTAAACATGTCACGTGGAAAGTTGAATTTAAAATGTTATTAAAAAAAGAGGTCGTTCTTTTTGAAACAGACTAAAAAGGAAAGGAGGTTATTCTTTTTGAAAAGGAGGGAGTATTAAATTTTTGTAGGTCATTTTTCTTGTGAACTTTAATAGTTTTAGTTCCTTTTTTTTAAAAAAAATGCTTTAGAGGGTGTAAGAAGTAGTTTAATTGCTCTAAAAGTTGGACATGAGTTGGTAGGAAATGGAATATAATTGAAAACGAAAATGACCATAAAGTTAGGTTGATGTTAGGGTATTAAAGTTTTGGGTTGTTAGCATGTTGTTAATTTGGCTAAAAATAATTTTACGTTTTCTGACCCTGAAATTATTACTAGTATAATTTTTTACATTTTGGACGTAATAATATATACAAATATTAATATTAAATGGTCATGTTCATGCCTTGTGTAAAATGCGTTGCCTCGCACAGCTTAGAGCTACCTTGTAACATTAATCTTTTTACAGAGGTATTTATGAGGTGAGATGTAAATGATGAGAGGCCAGTTCAAAATTCAGATAAACGTCCTTGTATAGAAATAGGAGTAAATATAGTCTTCAAGGTTTCGTTGCGGAGATGAAATAAAAGCTTAATTCTAACTCTCCTCACATTTATTGAAGGTGTCACACCAACCACCCTTCTGGTTGGGAATTCAGATACCTGCAGCTATCATCAACCACATGTTTCAATGTTATCCAAAAACGAACACATCTACTAGTTTCAATTAGACAATCTACTAAGAAGGCACACAAAAGTTTTTCCCAATGTTGGAACAGAAGTGTCTAATAGGAACACATATTTAATACATTGTCGATATACTAGATCTTTGGTTAATCCATATTTGCAGCATGTAGGCTTGTTAATGAGGGCTAGGTGATCTTTACATTCTTCACTCAGATTCATAAGTGAATTTCCACAATATAAAGCATGTGTATATCCATGAGCCTCTAGCTTGTGGTCCTTCACAAGAAGAATTATGAAAGGACTACACATCTTCTCTTTATTTTCCTCCTACTTCTTTTCCTGGTAATAAATGTATATATGTTTAGATTTGGGAAATCTAAGTGGTACTTTTGGTTGGAAATATCCGCCCTCCCTGCCAGCGAAAGTACGCGGTTTGCTTTCTGGGTCGAACTCGTTACCTTTCCTATGTGGTTTGTGAGCTATTGCATAGGTGCGGGGGCTTTACCCTGTGCGCAATGGCTGCGGGTTTCCCTTGTCAACAAATAAAATAAATTATTTTATCCCAACATGACATGTGTTAGAATTAAGAAGTTATTGAAAGAAAAAAGAAGAAATAGATAGATGTTCTCTTTTAAACGACTAATTAAGTTTCTAATTAACATGTAGTTATAATATTGTTGAACACTACTAACGCAACGTAATATCTATTGGGTGAGAAGATAAATACATTAAGAAAACACAGAGGGTTGGCACGCTATTGATCATGATAACTCAAATTTGGTCCCATCATCTTTAAATTAAATACTGTATAATTATGTTATAGCGACTCTTGAACGAATCGTGAAAACACTCATCTTCTTTAAATTTTATGTGAAAAAGTTGGTGACATGTATGCATAGTATATAAGAAGTTATGAGTCAGCAAACTCTAAAGAGAATTTAAGAGCCTGCATTTGTTAATTCAGTGTTTCCAACTACCATAACAGGCCTTGTGGACCCTTCCATTTATTGTTATTTCATGAACTACTTGCTCCTCTATTTATACTTACAATGCTTTTTTTCAACATTCACTACTTAGAATTATTTTCACTACACTCTATAGTCTATACGCTATAGCTAATTAACACAAGCTTAATCAGATGGCATCATATCAGCTTGGTTTTCCACTCTTCATCACTTTGGTTCTTGCCACACTTCAGTTATCGTCTTGCTATGTCTTGAAGGGTTCTGTTACTTGCCTAGACTGCAGTCAACATAACGATCTCTCAGGTAAATATTCTTTTTTGATCGATATATAGTTTTCTTTTTCCGTAGAATATGATTATTTGTGATGAGTATTTAAGTAGTTAGATGACATATGTTGAACGTAGAAAAATTGTATATATGTTGGTAATATCTCATAGCGTTAGATTTCGGAAGCAAACGTTTTTGTGTTGAGTGAAACAAGCGATACATGGTAGGAGTTGCTGTACTATTTGTTACAAAATGTTTACTATATGTAAGTGACAAAAGTCATATTCCTCACTTTATTGCAAGTTTTTTCATCATACCAAACAATAACATGACAGGCTTAAAGGATATTGCATGATATCATATATTTTTAGGAAAATAGAAACTAAGCTCTCCCTGTCCATAAATTTGAAAATAATATTGTCTGTTCATGAAATTTAGTCAGTTTTTGGAAATATATCTTCAAAGAAATTTGAAGTTCTATGTTAGGTGAAATTTCACCTTTATTCACAAACCTTCAAATTATTTCAAAGTAAAAAATACATGTCCAAACACAATTCAAAAACTATTTTTCAACAAGTTAACTTCAAAAGTACTTTTTTTTTCAATTTTCAACTAAATTTATGATCGTTACGCAAGCTAAGTCTTGAATATTATATCATATTTTGACCATACTTTTCAAAATTGAGCAGGAATAGAAGTTTTAGTGAAGTGTGGTCAGGTGAAAAGATTGGCTATGGCTACAACAGAAGAAGATGGCTCTTTTGAAACAAAACTTCCTTCTACTCCACCAAACAAATGCTATGCCAAGATCCTTGGAGGTCCTAATCAGCTCTTTGTTTCAAGAATTGAAACAGACCCCAATATTGTCAAGTCTCAAGAAGATGATAACTCCTACACTATCTCTAACCCTTTAAAGTTCTACACAAAATGCCCTTCACCCAACAAGAGTGCTAAAGGAAAATGTCATGATGAGTTTGGTTCATCTAAGACTATTGATCTACCATTGCCAAAAGAATGGGGAATTGCACCAACTAGCTACTATGTCCCTGTTCTCCCCATTATCGGGATACCTTAAGCATGTATGTATATAGTATTTTAGTGTGTTCTAGCTATTCTTCTCATAATATTAGAGAAAATGGCTACACTATTTATTTATGTCATGATTAATTATGTTGTTGGGAAGAAAGGTCTTAGATATATCTTCGACATGTATGAGATCGATGTTATTATATATGAATATTAAATATATAAACATATGTCTATTTATGTTAATATTATAGGTTTGGCTGTAGAATATTGTGTAATTAATGATCATGTTTAGTACTATCTTAGCAAAAAGTGGTTGTATATGTATAAGTGTCGCAACTTAATTAATGTTTGATATTATTGTTGCTAATATTTGCTTTTGGATGTAAAGTTAGTACATTAAACATCATATTATTGTTGCTCTTTTGTTTTATTTGCAAGATCTATATCATAAACATTTCAAGGTTAATCTTTAATGCAATATTGGACAATTTGAATAAGTTCTTCAAGTGTCATTAAATGACATTCATAAATTCCCACCAGAAGTAGGTAAGGTAAAAAAACTTTACATAGTTGATCATAGGTTACTATTCAACACTTCAATATTGCCAACTACACGATTATAGGCTTTATTCTTATTTGAAAATCAATGTATTACGCCAGTAGTCTATTTTTATGTACATTTTACAAATAATTTATCATGCTCTTATTATTATCTATTACTATTCATTTTTAATATCTAGATAACTTATATAAATATGAGTAATATAGTAAAATTTACCTTTATATTTATTCTTTTGAAAAGAATTTGTTAAATCAAATATGGACCTGAAAAATAGTAATTGTTTTGGCTTAACATATTTAGAAACATTCACCGTCTTGAAAATACTATGAACTTCAAAGGAGTAAAAATGCTTCTTCTTAACTCGAGCAAATTCACTTACCAACATTTTCTTTATTGGTATATGCTTTGCTTAACTAGCCATCGGAAGAATTTGAGCATATCCTGATTAGGTATCTATCTTTGTATTTAGATTCTCCGTCTAATGCTAACTTTAGGCCTTTAACGCTCTTCCCTAACAAAGGTGTATTCAGAAACTTGAATTTGAGATCTCTAATTAAAAATAAAGAATACTTATCACTCTATCACATTCCTTGATGATTACTATATTCATATTTATTAAGAAGCATTCACAATCGTAGACTCTGCAAATTAATATATGCTTGTATGCAATCATGCTCACTATTCACTAATCAAGATTAATTAATATAATTAATTATAAACAATGAATTTGAATAATCTGTTAGTCGAAGGTGTAGTAAAACTAAAAGGATTGAGAGGGGGTCATATGTGAGAAACAAAAACTCAAAGGGTGTAAAGTGTAGTTTAGAAAACATTATGACAGGTAATGCTGATGTCCGTCCTATCTTATGTGTCCTTATCAAAACCTCCGTAGACTTACTCTCCAGTCTACAATTCGAAGCTCCATACTTTTTCGATACGTATCTGTGTGAGAGAGAAATGGCGATAGTGTATGCGGTTGTGGCGAGAGGCACAACGGTGCTGGCGGAGTTCAGTGCCGTGACGGGGAACACCGGGGCGGTGGCGCGGCGGATATTGGAGAAGCTTCCAAATGAAACGGAATCGAGGCTTTGTTTCTCTCAGGATCGGTACATCTTCCATATACTCCGATCGAATGGAATCACCTTCCTTTGTATGGCTAACGAAACCTTTGGAAGTGAGTATAAATTCCGTCTCTGTTGTAGATTTTGTGTGAAGTTTCCTTTTTTTGTCAATCAATTTATTTCTCCAGCTGTTAAGTTAATCTGAACTATAGAGCTAGAAACAAATAAAACCTGTTTCCAGATTAGGTTATTTTAAGAAATCTATTAAGTATCTAATTCATGAACTTTAAATTCTGGATCTGCATCTAATTTAATCCTGAATGGCTCCATGAACAGACGCTGATTTAGCATTTGGTCACTGTTATCCTCAACTTAAACCATGTTTATGCGTGTGTTTGTGTTTTGGTTTAGCGCTCTTTGTTGTTCGATGTTAGAATGGCCAACTTGTGTGACTTCAAAGATCATATAGAAGCTAATTAGTGTCTTCTCAATATCTGGTTGGCACAAATATACCCTTGATTGTCCTATTTCCATCTGCAAATCTCACAGATGCCTTTCTGACTTTCCTAGTTTCATCTATTCAAACCTTTTTTTAACGAGCATCTTTCAGCACTTCCTGAAAGAAACATTGTTGGCATTGGAAAATTTGTGAGTTGATATTTTATGGATATCTGTTGCTAAGGACTGAAAATTCTGTTAGTCATTTGAGTTATCCTTCACTCCTGCCACTAACGAATGCTGTTCTAGGGAGGATTCCGTTCTCATACTTGGAGGATATTCAGATGAGGTTCATGAAGAACTATGGTAAGGTGGCTTCTTATGCTCCTGCCTATTCCATGAATGATGAATTCTCAAGGGTCTTGCATCAGCAAATGGAGTTCTTTTCAAGTAATCCAAGTGCAGATACACTAAATCGTGTCAGAGGAGAAGTTGGTGAGGCAAGTATTTTTTCTGTTTACTTGCCCAAAGCGCGTGAAGCTTAAGGATTCTTGTTTCATCTTCATTTGTTTTCCTTTTATTTATCTTTTGTTTTATCTGTCTTTTATGCTTCAGGTATTGAGTCCATGGATGCATGCATTAACTCTCCACAATATCCACAGTTTATTAAATTATCAATGGTTTTATATTCTTGGAAACTAAATAAGCTCCTACAGAACAGTTATGCATCACGTTTCAATTAAGATAATTTGGAGTGTTGAACACAAAATCATTTATGATGATTTTCCGATGTTCAATCACTGCTAAAATAACTTCTCCTTTCCCTTAACTCTTACTTATCCTTTGATATCTGTATACCTTCCTACAAGTACTGTCTGGCTTTTATCTCCACTTCGTAGAACTCGAGAAGCAACTAATGATCCTAACATCTCATGCAGGGATAATCAGCACCTTTGTGAACTATAAACTTACTCTAATCTATTTTATATTCTGTATGAAACTCTTTCCTTCTACTTCTTCCAAAAAGAATAATATTTCTCTCAGTAGGAAACTCTTTAACTTTGTACTTCTCATTTTGAGTTTGGTGGCATGCTCTTATAGCCATAAAATGTTATGTCATGTTTAAGACGACAAGCTCTAAGGGTAGTAATGTTTGCCATACTCTTTTCTTTTCTGAACTCTAAACTGAGTCAAACACCACCATGTAAAATGAAATGGAGGGAATATCATTTACGACCATTTGATTTTTTCCTGCAGTAAACAACTGACAGTTTTATCTTACAATATAAGTTGCTGTAGAGAAGCAAAGGAATATTATACCCTATTGCATTACCTAGTTATGATTCTGGTCCTATTGCATAATTTCGCTGCATGTGTTCAATTCTTACCTTTCTGGCTGATGATTTTTATAGTGCATTTACATCATGATATGCTACTGTTACATCCTTTTTTTTAAAATCCCCACTCCTTCATGTATTGCAACTATTCTAAAAGTACAAAAAACTCCTTCAATGTACATCCAGATACGCACCATCATGGTTGATAATATTGAGAAAATACTTGAGAGGGGGGATCGGATTGAGCTACTCGTTGACAAAACAGGAACAATGCAAGACAATGCATTTCACTTCAGGAAACAGTCGAAGCGCCTTAGGAGAGCTCTTTGGATGAAAAACGCAAAGCTCCTGTAAGTATCTTTTACAAAGTATTGTAGACGTAGTCCACATCAACTAAAAAAGTGACTCACACTCTTACTGTTACAAGTTTCAAGCTCAGAACACTGTCAATTCAAATTATGTATACCCTGACAACACTTGCTATAATGAACGCCAACTTTCTCTGCTAATAATGCTGTGACGTTAGTGTTGCTGAAGGCATACTTGAAGGTGTGCTTAAGCTCTAAAGCTATTCGCAGGGCAAACTGAGCACTTAGCCTTTCTTAGGCTTGAAAAGTTTTTAACTAGACAATTAAACATACTTGGCAAAGCAATATGTTACTCATTTATTTTGATTTTGGCTATCAACAAAAATTTTCCTCATTCAGAAAACATTAGATGAATATGTTATTGTTCAGGAATTGGAAATGTTGAAATTTAGTACTCCATTAGAAAAGTAGTTAGTAAATTTGATGAGAAACAACAATCAAAAAATAAACGTGAAACTGCACCTTTATAGATTGAACTTGAACATGATTGACACAGTATTTATGGTTAAAATCTTTGAGTTAATTGAAAAAAGTGAATTCGTTTGTACTAAATTTCTGTCTGTGGTTGAAGTTACTTTTTTCTTGTATTACGTGTTTATTTTTTACTTTAAGAACGTGCTTTAATTGGGTATTTGGAGTTCGTAATCTTCCCCAGCTGCTATTGTGGTGATTGTCATAAAATGATTGCAGTGGGCAGTAGCTAGTCAGTGCTATTTAGGCTCCCCCATTTCTAGTCATTTGATATAAACAGGTGCACAACAATGCAAAAAAACTATGTCTCAATCCCAAACTAGTCGATGTGGTGGACTACTTTGCCGACATCCATCCATGAGGCTGGAACCGTTGCTCCTCATATCCAAACAATATTATGATAATCCCTTATCCATTTTTCATCATACTCCAGTAGCAGTATAACATGTTCCTAGGTTCGGTGAGCTTAATAAGGTTCAAGATCTCATTGTATAGCTTGTCTTTTGTTTCAGTCGTCTTAGGCTTGGGTTAGTTGGTGTTGCTGTTTCATACTTCTATCAACCTTGTTCGAGTTCCTTTATAAAATATGACTGTTGGAGGAAGTAATTTACCTTTAGTTCGACTAGTCTAATACTCTAACTACATCAAGATTTGCATCATTCTCGTCCAAGAAAGTTCTTAGTTTGAGGCCTTTTGGTCTTGTATATTTGTCAATCTGAGCTTCGCAACTTTCTCATGACAGGGGTTTGTTGACATGCCTGATTGTGCTCTTCCTTTACTTGATAATTGCTGCTTGTTGCGGAGGCATCACTCTACCTTCCTGCAGATCATGAATTCTCTGAAAAGGAGCACCATATTTGCCGCACTGTGGTTCATATTTCCAAGTACATTTAGATGAACTATATCATCAGATTGAAAGGTTATTGTATAATCAATCCAGTGGATTCTCGTTCTGGCACCTTTAGAAGTACATGTGCGGAAAAGAATGATAAGGTTTGTATTGTTGTTGACAAAGCCTGTTGCCTTTCTCATTTGTAAATGTTCTGAACGACTCCTAAATTACTCTTAAGGTGTAAGGTCTTCCGTGCCTGTTTGTAAATATAATGCTGTGCCGTGACTTACCTTTTGTACCATTTGTTCAAATGTATGGCCTGGACACCAGGGTTGTCAAAAATGTCTCATGCCCGTTTTATTGGTCTGAGAATGGCGTGATGCCAAATTCTGCCGCTCCACAGTGAGCATTTCGATCTACTGGAAATTGACCAACTTATTTTATCACTTGATAACTAAACAAAATCCTATTAACTTTAATCATACATTGTATTTATACCGAAAAAGTTATGCATAACTCAGTAAATTACCTTTTTTAGCAGTCAAATTCTAGATCAGTTTCTAATTTATCAAAATGGCTTTTATAGGGTCCCAGTTCCACTAATATACCTGCCGTCCATGCACTGACTACAAGACAAATACCTCACTATGTTTGTTAGTGCTTGGTAATATAAAACCTTTTCTTTTATGAGAAAGTTCACCGAGAATAATTTTCTATTTGTGGCATAACTAGTATATAGTGCAGATTGACAAGAATTTAATTTTGCAGTTGGGCACATGAACAATTTTCCTCAAAGTTGTAGAAAGTACTTTTCATTTTCTTGTCACCGAAAATTATTTATAATTGAAATTAAAACCGAATGAGCTGCAAGATTCAAGTCGAATTTCAAAAGAATTGACCAAGAAAAAATTCAAAAATATCCCCCACCCCCTACCAAACACATCCTAAAGTGAGGTATAGACTGGGACTGGGATTGGGAAAAGGGTAAAATGCTTTCACTAGCTTAGCAAAGATTCCACTTTGTTAGCTATCTTTCTTTCTCATTTCCTTTTTTCTTTTTCTTTTTTTTGTTATATAAGCCAAAGTAGGTACCCAAAAGCATCAATATTTTGTATTGCTTGGTGATTCCTCTGTAGTCCAGTATTTCATTTTCTACAAGTTCCACCTCCCTCCATAATTAACCATTATCAATCTTATACATTCTCTATAATGGAAACTCTTCTCAAGCCTTTTCCATCTCTTTTACTTTCCTCTCCTACACCCTATAGGTCTATTGTCCAACAAAATCCTTCTTTTCTAAGTCCCACCACCAAAAAAAAATCAAGAAAATGTCTTCTTAGAAACAAAAGTAGTAAACTTTTTTGTAGCTTTCTTGATTTAGCACCCACATCAAAGCCAGAGTCTTTAGATGTTAACATCTCATGGGTTGATCCTAATTCGAATCGGGCTCAATTCGACGTGATCATTATCGGAGCTGGCCCTGCTGGGCTCAGGCTAGCTGAACAAGTTTCTAAATATGGTATTAAGGTATGTTGTGTTGACCCTTCACCACTCTCCATGTGGCCAAATAATTATGGTGTTTGGGTTGATGAGTTTGAGAATTTAGGACTGGAAGATTGTTTAGATCATAAATGGCCTATGACTTGTGTGCATATAAATGATAACAAAACTAAGTATTTGGGAAGACCATATGGTAGAGTTAGTAGAAAGAAGCTGAAGTTGAAATTGTTGAATAGTTGTGTTGAGAACAGAGTGAAGTTTTATAAAGCTAAGGTTTGGAAAGTGGAACATGAAGAATTTGAGTCTTCAATTGTTTGTGATGATGGTAAGAAGATAAGAGGTAGTTTGGTTGTGGATGCAAGTGGTTTTGCTAGTGATTTTATAGAGTATGACAGGCCAAGAAACCATGGTTATCAAATTGCTCATGGGGTTTTAGTAGAAGTTGATAATCATCCATTTGATTTGGATAAAATGGTGCTTATGGATTGGAGGGATTCTCATTTGGGTAATGAGCCATATTTAAGGGTGAATAATGCTAAAGAACCAACATTCTTGTATGCAATGCCATTTGATAGAGATTTGGTTTTCTTGGAAGAGACTTCTTTGGTGAGTCGTCCTGTTTTATCGTATATGGAAGTAAAAAGAAGGATGGTGGCAAGATTAAGGCATTTGGGGATCAAAGTGAAAAGTGTTATTGAGGAAGAGAAATGTGTGATCCCTATGGGAGGACCACTTCCGCGGATTCCTCAAAATGTTATGGCTATTGGTGGGAATTCAGGGATAGTTCATCCATCAACAGGGTACATGGTGGCTAGGAGCATGGCTTTAGCACCAGTACTAGCTGAAGCCATCGTCGAGGGGCTTGGCTCAACAAGAATGATAAGAGGGTCTCAACTTTACCATAGAGTTTGGAATGGTTTGTGGCCTTTGGATAGAAGATGTGTTAGAGAATGTTATTCATTTGGGATGGAGACATTGTTGAAGCTTGATTTGAAAGGGACTAGGAGATTGTTTGACGCTTTCTTTGATCTTGATCCTAAATACTGGCAAGGGTTCCTTTCTTCAAGATTGTCTGTCAAAGAACTTGGTTTACTCAGCTTGTGTCTTTTCGGACATGGCTCAAACATGACTAGGTTGGATATTGTTACAAAATGTCCTCTTCCTTTGGTTAGACTGATTGGCAATCTAGCAATAGAGAGCCTTTGAATGTGAAAAGTTTGAATCATTTTCTTCATTTTAATTTCTTTGATTATTTTCATATTTTCTCAATTGCAAAAGTGAGATAAGAGCTACATACTGTCAACAAATAAACTACTATTGGAAAGTTAAAATAGTGTGTTTGTTGTATGTTATTCTAATGGAGTGGATTTTGTAAATCAATTTATGAACTGCTCCACTCTGTTCCTCTTAAAAGCCTTAATTCCAACATGAAGGGAACTGCTCCATCAAATTTTTGAGAATGTTTATCTGTCAATGGCCCTCTTTCCCATTATTTTAAAGTTCAAATAGAAGTGCAACAGCTACAAAGAGTTGACAAATACAAAGCAGTTATTACTTTTAGGTTTCTTCACCAACTAGGCTAAGCCATTTTTCAGTCAGAAAAAGGCTAACACGGCAAACGTTTTGATCAACACGTGGAATTTCACAAATAGAGTTGGAACGGGAGAAAGTACGCAAACCTAAATTTGAGTGTGAGGTAGGTTGAGCGGATATAACTAAATATAAAATTCCATTTGAGGAACTCGTTTTTCTTACTTTCACTAAAATTATTTTACTCATTTTAAGTGGCGTGTTTTCCTCTAGAAATATTTTTCTAATTTTTAAGATTTTATTATATGGTATACTATTAAATTCATTATTTTAGTATATATAAATGATAAATGTCATTTTATGTAACAAAAGATTTATAGCATGTGATTGATTCAAAATTCCCCTATTTATTACACGAAAAAAATGTTCATTAAGCCAAACTTATTGCTCCCAAAGTACATTTATTATCATTTAATTTTGTTTTTCCTTTTCATATTCAATGAAAGAAGGATACTTCAACATTTAATTTTACACTTTACAACAACTCCTTCATTTAAAAATTCTCAACCATTTCATTCAAACTAATCCATGTCCCCCCACCCCCACCATACTCATATATATGTGTGTGTATTTCCATCCCTTCTCATAACAGTAACTTATAATCTTACATTAATACATACAGCCCCCTTATTTACACATATATTTCTTTTGTAACGCAGAAAAGTAGTTATTAAAGAAGCTATCTCAAATACATAAGCAATATAGTAGTAATACTTATGGATTCAAAATCCACTAGCTATGAAACAGCAATTAACATGTCTGAAACAGAGTCCACCAAGCAAAAATCATCTTCTGGTGCACCAATTATAGCTACCACAAAGACCATTTCACATAATCAGAAAGGAGGATGGCGAAGAGGACTTAGCATTTTCGACTTTATTTTGCGACTTTGTGCCCTTGCAACTACTCTCGCTGCTGCAACTGCTATGGGAACTACTGAAGAAACTCTTCCTCTTTTCACTCAGTTCTTTCAGTTCCAAGCTAGCTACGACGATCTCCCTGCTTTCTCGTACGTTTATTTATTTATTCCATTTTGGAATGCGTTATAATTAATAATTGAGTTGATCTTGATCATGTTCTTTTTTAAATTCAGGTATTTTGTGGTGGCAAATGCTATTGCAAGTGCATATGTTGTCCTGTCTCTGCCTTTCTCCATTGTTTGCATTGTTAGACCTCATCTCGTTGGAGTCAAACTTTTGCTTTTAATTCTCGATACGGTAATTAAATTCCGTTCATTTTGATTAAATAATTATAACATTTTTACATTTTAAAAGCTATTTATAATGTTGCAGGTAATGGTGGCATTTACTACAGCTGCAGCAGCTGCGGCTGCTGCCATAGTGTACTTAGCAGAAAACGGCAACTCCACCACACAATGGGTGGCGATATGCCAACAGTTTGGGGATTTCTGCCAGCGAGTGAGCGGCGCAGTGGTGGCGTCCTTTATTGCAGCATTCATCTTCATCATCCTTGTTGTTTTCTCTGCTGTGACTCTACGAAGGGCATAAAAATTTTCTGAAAAAATTGGATTTCGTGTCTTTCATTTTGATTTTGTTGTAATTTAATTGCATGCGTCTTTGTCCTTTTGAGTTTTTGCTTATTCACTTGTGTAATTTATCCACCTTTTCTCAGAAATTTGATATTATTTCAAATTCAATTTTGTCTTTCGTCTAATTCTAATTTTAAAAATTACTGATAAAATACGATTTTAAAATTAAAAAAAAGAAAAATATGAACACTAAATTTTATTTTTATGACGAAGTAAATCACACTATCATTCATTTTTGAACGCCCACAAGCTAAAATTTCAATTTTCATGTGATATTTTACTAATTACACCAAAAATATTTATATTAGACAAATTCGATGTAACGAGCTCAATCCACAGACTAATATAAATCTCGAGTTTAAAATCTCTAACGTTAACAATCTCAAGCCCAAACTAGTGAGCAGGCTACCAGCCCAAAGGATAATATGAACACTATGATAATTCTGCTCAAAATTTAAAAAACAGAAAGATATGAAGCAAATAAGACAAACAAATAAGTAATACACATTATAATTAATCATATTCATTTTCCTATATTCCGTATTTATGAAATTTAGTCAAACGTGAAAGGTAATGCAGTGGGCAGTGAGGGTTGCACTAGTCGACATGTGTAAAGCACTTGACCGTAACAATGGTAAAATTCCCAAAGTGACGTGTCCATTCTTCCCCTTTTTCTCTCTTCCTTCGCCTGCAAGGTAATTACATACATTTTTTTCCAATATCCGCTTCACAGATTACATACTATAAACCCTAATCACTCCCAATTTCTGCTTCAATTCGGTTTCATTACACAGTAATTCGCCTCGAGGGTTTTCTATTGGTAAGTTCTTGCCCCATCTATCTTGAATATCGAATGTGTCTCGGCATTATTGGTTATTTTCTATCGATTTGCGTTTGGTTAGAAATAGTATGGTATGCCATCTCTTGATATTTATTATATCTAATTTGTTACTAGGGAATTGAATTTATTTGATGGTTCTGGGATTTTCTTTCTCATATTTATTGTCTTGAACTTCTATTTTAAATGCCACGGCTGTTTTAGTTTGCTATATAAATGTGAGATCTTAATAAAATTGTATAATCCTTGACAAATTTTTTAGCTTTGAAATGAATTGGGTCCAAAGAGGAGAATGGTTTAAGAGTTAAAGTGTATTTGTCTCAATTTGTTTTGGGATTGAGAAATAGTTGATACTGATGATCTAATGATCTTAATTTCAGCTTTAAGGTTGTGGCTTACTTTTGGGAAATTTCAAGGAACATAAAGAGAACAGGCCTTGTTGTTTCAAAAAAGAGTTTTGGAAGTGAAGTTCTCATGAGAATTTTTAGGGGAATGCAGAAAGTAGCTCGCGAGGATCAAAGGGAAGTAAGTTGCTGCAAGAAATCATTCAGTAAAGGTATTGGTGTGACCGCCCCAAAGGCCAGAAAGCGAGATAAATTGAAAGTGTTTCTCTAATTTGGGTCAAGGCAGAGTGATTGTTCTGTGGGTCTCTAGTTGAAGAAGGGCAGCAAAAATGACAAGGATACTTGTCCAGAGAGGTTCTACAGGGTCTTCATCGTCATCGTCAAACCAGAACAGGTCGTCAGTGTCACTCCCTGGATCATCTGCTTCTTCTTCTTCAGCTTCATCACAGCCACAGGTTTCTAGTACTAGTCAAGTGCCATCAGCTCTGAAAGATGATGAGTTGGTGGGAGAGTTTCCAGAAACAATTGTCTTGGATGATGTTTCAGTTGGTTCCTTCAATCAGAAAGGTGATGGTGATGATGCTTCAGTAGAAAGTTTTAGCTGTGACCGAAGCCTCCTTGAAGAAAAGATTGTTGACAATGAGAAGGTTAGTGATGATGCTTTTGTCTGTGGGGACTCCATAAAAGCATCTAGTGGTTTAAGAGTTGAGGTAGTGGAAAATGAAGGTACTTCTCTGCTGGAGCCTAAAGGTAGTTATTGTCCACCTCCCCCTCCACCTCCTGTCCCACCTCCTAAACCTGCTTCACTTAACCCTAGACCAAGGAAATTTTCATTAGGTAGTTCAAATGCAGTACGGATAGGATCATCTAGGGAATTTGTTGGGCAGACCAATGTGTCAACTAGGACTTCACCTACTGGATCTAGGCCATCGTCTCCACGGTCACACAGCGAAAGTGAAGGTTATAATAGCGCAGATGAGCAGAGTCCCAACTTTGGATCCTCACGCAATGATGTGGTAAGTCCAGAAACTTATCTAGTAGAAACTGATGAAGGCTTCAGTTTATGCTCCTCTTATCCATTATAGGAATAGGATTGATTACTGGTTGATTTCCTAAGCACATTTTATCAGCAAATACCGTCCGCCCTGCGCTAAATTATGCATCACATTAGTTGCTGTTGGAATGGTCATTCTGCTCATGTTGTTTAGCATGAGTAAAGGATGATTTATATAGTAATTTACAAGCTACAATTATCCTACTATCAAACACTGTTGCACATATCTGAAATGTGAAAACTTAACAGTTTTCATATTGTTTCAGGAGAGAGAGCACCAGTTTGAAATTGATGTCAGAAGATCCAAAGGCTTAGAAGTTAAGAAAATGCGTGAAGATGGGAATTGCCTCTTCCGTGCAGTTGCTGACCAAGTATATGGTGATTCTGAAGCTTATGATTTGGTCAGGCAGATGTGCATCGACTACATGGTAATTTTTGTGCAGAACACACTGTATACATGCGATTTTATTTGTTGACTTCCTTTTCTTCTTTGGTAGGTTAAGAGTTTTGTTCACTTAATTTTGGTTTCATTTAGAAATGTGTTTTTTTAACATGCTATTAGATGGGGAGATGAAGCTATCCTCTTGGTTTTACATTAGAGGGTCACCAGTTTAATTTGGTCTCTGCTTGCTGATTTTTAATTGTAAAATGTGGGTGACAATGGCCTGGTACAATTGAGGATAGAAAGAGTGCACTGACAGAACAAAGTAGAGTACATAGCATCTACCATAATCAAATACACATCTGTTAATTTGAGAGCCAGATTGGTTTCCTATTTGTCTATATGTAGTAGGTTCTTGGCATGCTGAGATGTCCTATGTTGCATATCTTTTTTATCTGAACTGAAGTAACTTCTTTCCCTCGACTGATGCTACAATTTTTTTCATTATATGGTTTTTGCATAATATTTTTAGTGGTGTATTTATTTTTGGGGTTTTTGGTTAGCTCCCTGGTTCAAGCATAACATCATGAATGGAGCCAACACTCCTACTTTTGTACTCTTTGCATCTACTTGATGCTAGTACTGGAACATCCTACTTAATAAAAAAATAAAAATTTAATGGTGTATTTTGAGAGTAGAGTTCTGTCAAAGGTGGATCGATCCAGGACTGATGTTTATGGTTTCAAACAAAATCTAGTTATAATATGTAATAATTACTGGGTTTACAATTATATACTCATAGATATTTAGTGTGTTTCTTAGTACATGTAGAAGGTCCTGGTAAATGCTTATGGGTACCCACTTGTGAACCCATAGCTTGTCTAAATCCGTCATCGAGTCCGGTAACTGTTCAAGTTGAAGTCACCTGCACTTGCGCAAAGCTGTGTTGTAGATTTGGTGAGAGAATCTTATAACTATGTATAGACATATGTAATATTTGTTTTCCTGAGAAAATAAATAATAAATAGGTATAGACATGAAATTTCCATCATCCCATCTTATAGCCACTCCCATACATTTAAGAGAGGGTTTTCTTTCAGATCTCAGGAGAGAGTGAGTCTGGTCCTTATATCTATTCTGTAAAGATAATAATGAAAACATCAATTAATAATTGAATTATATTTCAGTTAGCGATTGGAATTTATGATAAAATATTTGAAAATATCAAGTAAATTTGACAAAACCATCTTTTTTTTTTGAAACTGGTAAGGTTGAATTTGACAAAACCATCTATGGCAGAAAATTGTTTTGTAGAACCTGGAGGATTAGGATTATAGTTGGTTGACCACCCATCTCAAAATTTGCCTTAAGTGAACTCTTTAAACATTAAATCTATTGGGCGCGTTCATCTTGGCATGTGCTACAATGGCATTCTAGTGTATTCTAAAATTGGATAGACGTTCCCATCACATGGCTTCCTGAATAGAGCAAAATGAATATTGTGAATTCATATAGTCAGTATATATAATTGGGATGGTCTTGATTATTTGATTAATTGACTGATTAGAATGCAAAGGAATGTTTATCCCAAGAAAAAAAGGGACAACTAGTTTCATTTTACTGGTTGTTGCTAGTTTATTCACCACTAGAATTCTTTGATGGGCTTATTCTCAATGATGATTCTCATGACTTGTTCCTCGACTTCTTTCTATCTTCTACCTGGATCAATTAGCTTTCTTTTATCATTAAAATAACCCCCTTATGCTTATCCTTTTGAGTGGTCTGGGTACGATTCTTCCTGAAGCAAGGGTCAAGGCTGAGCTTTGGGTTTTTCTTTTTGGGGTTACTTTGTGGTAATAGGGATGCGTTAATGGTCTAGACTCTAGTGGAAGGAAGTCCACAGTCCATGTATCTTAGAAATTGAGGGTCCCTGTCTGCAGTCATTTTAGGTATCAAACCTCACCTAGGAAAATTGGGGTTAAATTTTGAAAATTATATTATAGTTGTAGTGCTAAGAAAAACACAGAGGTTTAAGTTCATATTGGTATGTCAAGGGGTGTCGATTGACACTGCTTCATCAAAACTTTTAAGTAATATATATATATATATATATATATATATATATATATATATAAGAATCTGAAAAAATCAGAATATAAGTAGAAATAATATTAATGACACAACTTGAACAAGTGAGTTTCCTAGGCTCGTGGTTTACTGCGCGGGTCGAACAGTCATTCACTCAAGTGTGGCCGAGTTTAATCCTCAAAGCCCAATTTTAGGTTTTATCTTTTTGGGGTCTTTTCAGATAAAAGTACATGTAGGGATTCGAACCTCCAACCTCCAATTCCTAGTCAAATTAGGAGAATACAAACCAGTTGAACTAATATAAAATTGATATCCTGTTATACAAGTTCAATTGCTTGTCCAAAACGGAATTAATGAGTTGTAGTAGTTCATTTGATTTATGTTTTATTAGTATGCTGTAAATAATTTTTGTCAATATAATGTTGTTATATCATTCATTTATTTATTTACTTTAAAATGTCGACGTTGCTTACAAAAAATGTGTGTATGCCACTGTGTGTCCTCCCCATCTTATCTTCACCCCTCTATGTAGCCTCACCCCCACCACCATCGCCCTCACGCCCATAGTATTTTTCTAGGTTGTATACAAAATAGTGCTTCTAGGATGATAGGATGATTTTTTAATTTTTTTGCTTCTATACCAAACAGGCCAACACAAGAAAATAAATAAGAAATCCATTATTTCTGGGTAAGCATTTTCCATGAAAAGCATCGTCCTTCTCCCAAACACACCCTATGCCTCTTTTTGTGGGTGCAGGGGTGATGGAAGATGTAGGGGATGGGTGGTACATGTGCATATTGTTATTGTTTGGTTTCCATTTCATCATGTCGGCTTCTTGCATTTAACATGTCGGTGTCGAAATTTTTTGCTTAAATGTTACGTGCTTGATGCATAATTTTGTATCCTCATGTTCCCTTGATGCCGATAACTTACTGGAGAAAATACAAGAATATTATGACCAATATCATGTCTGATCACTCAGATAGAGTTTTATCATGTATAAGTTGGTTCATCAGTATCTTTATCATTTATATGTCTTTTTGCACCGCCTTATAACTTATTTTGCTGCATCTTTATTTATATGTTTAACATTTTTTTTTGTAGGAGCGCGAAAGGGACCACTTCTCCCAGTTTATAACTGAAGGATTCACATCCTATTGCAAGAGGAAAAGGAGAGACAAGGTATGTCATGTGATTATTCAGCAATTATCTATCTGAATCCTTTTGCTGCTTCTGTCTCAACCGGTCGCAAGCAGAATTGGAGCACTTGTTACATACATCTGTAAAAATGTTATTTGAACGTGAAAGCACCAGCCAGGATGATGCTATTTGTTAGATGATTGTCATCAGAGATAATTTTAGTGTAATTGTTAACTGTGTAGTCTGACATGAGTGAATGCTAGGGGTTTCCCAGTGGAAAAGAATGTGGTTGCGCTGTGTGAATTCACTTCTCTATAGTTTTTTGTTCAATATTTTCATACTGCTTGAACCTCTGAACATCTACATTCTGCTGTTAGTTGTTTGCTAGTTTCTTTATAATGCATATGATTAACTCATGCATTGTATTTCCAATTATCTTCAGGTTCTTCCTTCTTTTGACGTTAAGGTGGTTAAGTTTTGCGTTTTGGTCTTAAATCACTTCTGTTTGATTTTTCTTAGATATCTTCATTTTCAAAAGGCTGGATTAAAGAACTCTCTTGGACCGAAATTAATATCCGTTTCTTTTTAGAGCTTTTGCTATCTGTCGCATTGGTGGATCGTGTTTTGCTTATCGATTATCATTTGTGTGCATATCTTTCTTTGTTTCTCAATTCCTTGTTAGAATAACTTGAGTTATGTTTTCATTGCTTGATTGTAGGTCTACGGCAACAACGTGGAGATCCAAGCATTATCTGAAATGTATAATCGCCCTATCCATATATATTCTTATAGCATTGGTAAATTCTCTTTTTGACTTTTGATTGTTCTTTTTGTAATAAGATTGGTGATTGTAATACTCAGTTTTGCAGACTTGTGTCTGTTGACTTTTTGCACTAAATTATGGAACTTACTGATGCAGAACCAATGAACACGTTCCATGGAAGTTATAACTCAGATACCCCTCCTATCCGTCTCAGTTATCATCATGGAAATCACTACAACTCCCTTGTCGATCCTCGGCGATTATCAGTTGGTGCTGGACTTGGGTTTAGCTCTTTGCGAGGGGTATAGTCTTTAATCTGCAAACAAACATGTTATCTGTAAGGAGATAAGTTGTTAGTCTCCTCAAACCGTCATTCTAGTGGTCGTGAAATACGATATCAATCTGTTATCTGCTACAGCAATATTGCTTTAGGTTATGCAGTTGAAATTATTCTCTTTATATACTTTCTTACTGCCATTTCAGTAGTCTGTGAAATATGATAATGTTCTTTCTTCACCAACCTATCAGTTAGTTTCATGTATATATGTTTTTATTTTCTTGCAGAAAAACGTCGACAAGGATAATGTAAAAGCTGCAATTAAAGCTCAACAGGACCAACAGATCGATAACGTTAAGTACCTATAAGTTCTATTTCATTTGAATGATCCCCATATACTTGGCTTTCATGTGGATATTTTAGTTGGCTAAATGGTCCCATTTCAGGCGCTTCTTGCTGAAGGACGCTTCTACTCAGATGTTGAGCTCACTGAAAAGGAGATGGAACGGATGGTGATTGAAGCTTCTAGGGCTGAGTATATTGCGCATGATAACAAGTTCCGGCAACAGCTTGGTCGTCGAGAATCTTCCACATCCGGTGCTGAACCATCATCTTCAGGAACTAGTGAGTGTGATCTTACATTTTGCCCTTCTATTGATGCAAGATCCGTGAATTTGGTGGTTTGAAATTTCAACATCGAATCACAGGGTCATCAGGAAGTGAGAAACGGCAGGAAGCTGGGCAAGAGCTGAGTTCGCCAGATTCTGCCTTTAACGACTGCATCCAGGTTATGCTATCTATGGGTTTCAGCTATCCACGAGTGATTGAGGCTTATAGCATATTCGGCGATGATGTGGATTCCATGGTTTGTTACCTCATAGAAACCAGCTGTAGCAGCAGGCGCAAAGGAAAAGCAACTGAATGAGGAAACTGAGAAAAGAGCTGTGTGGATTAGTCTATCGTGTTTTTTTCTAGTATAAGCATTTGCTTTGTGTTCGGTTGTCTTCTGAAGAGTACGTACTATCTTATATGGATTATTCTAATGTTTCTAAGTCGGACTCTGAGATTGTATTGCTATGTTGCTGCTTGTGTAATGCCATATAAGTTGGGTAAGAACAAGGCTTTTGCTTAAAATTTGAGGATAATTTTTTTTTGACATTTCTAAGTACATGAAATGACCCAAGTATTTTGTAGTTCATCTACACGTCATAATTCATGTTAATTTGAGAATAATTTTTTGACATCTTTAAATGGAGCAGAAAATGTACTCCTAACTTTACTAACGTACACTGCTGCAAGGATTCTTTTAAAAAAGAAATTAAAAGTTGGTTTTTTACTTTCATTAACCAATAATGTATATCCGCTCGTGAAGTCAGCGTTTTCAATAACACTTTTAGGCAAGTCTTGTGGCGTAAATTCAGGATGTGTTTTATAGGGCGTAAGTCCTAAATTTGGGGCGTAAATTTAAAACGTAAAAACACTAGTCCTGAATGTAAATTTGGATTTGGGTGTTCTTTTTTACTTTAAATCATATTTTTTTTTATCATTGGTAATAATATTTTTCAAATAGTAATTTTAATCTTTTTTTTATTATTGGTTAGTAATGTATATATGTTATAGGTTATTTATTACTGTAAATTTTAGTTGTATTTGAAAGTTTAACTTTTGTTTATTTTCTTAGTAATAAAATTATAAAATTAAATATTTATGAGACTACGCCCCGTAAATTTATAAGATTGATGTCTCGTTTTATGAGGTTTATGTCTCGTCCTGTGCTGCATAAACTGTATCGCTTCACGTCCCGTCTTTAAAACGTTGCTATACATATTATTTCCTACTTTACTTTTACTTGTAACTGTTAAAATTTGACACACTATTAAGAAAATAATCATTGATGGGGAACATTTACCACATTATTCCTATTAAATGATGTTTAATAATCCATCTGTCTATTTTTTATTGTCATAACTTTTTTTTTTAAAGTCAAACGATAAGAATTTAGACTAACATTTTATGATATATTTTTTATCATATTGATATGTAAAAAATGCAATCTTATAGTACTTTTTGAATATCTAAATTTTTTATTTAAAATATTATATTACTGTAATCCAATTTAAGTTTAAAAATTAGTTAAGTTTAACTTTTAACAAAAACACAACATGACAGTTAAAACTGACACGGTGAGAGTATTAGTTTTACAAAAAAATTGGAGAATGGTACTCATTGATGCTAAGTTAAACATGGTAAAAGGGTATATATGAAATTTCGATACTTTACTACACAGAAGAAGTCTCCAAGCAGGCGCCTCTGTGTGTGTCTACTTCTAACCGAGAGTATATATAAGATCTCAATGCTTCTTGCTACTATCGAGAAGAGATTCTAGATACAGAGATATCTTTTTATCAGTGAGTCTACTTTTATCCGAGGGGTTTTTATAAAAGTTTTACTCTGCTACTCTCTAGAAGAGTTTAGAAGCAGGCGTCTCTCTGTTGACGTGTCTACTTAGCTGAGGGTATATATGTAATTTCAATACTTCTTACTACTATTTTTAGAAATAAATAATAAATAAAGGTGAATGGAGAGAGTACTTTTTCTGTACATTTTTATTTGTCACAATTTTTTGTGAGAGTTAAAAATTGTGTAATATTTTAAAGATGTATTCTTTCATATTAAAAGAATCATTATATTTGTAAATAGTTTCTAAATAACTACATTTTTTATCTTAAAAATGACAAATTAATATAATTTAACTTAATAATTTATAATGTGACAATTAAAAAGAAATAGAGGTAGTAAATTTCGGTAAATATTTGCAAAGTAAAACTAAGAAAAAATAATTTTATTTACATAAAAAAGAAAAAAAAACTTTTTTTATTTTTTTGAAAACTAAATTAAAGTGTGGTGTATCAATCCCCTGTTCATCATCTCTCCCATCAGATATATATAGAGCCAAAAAAAAGGAAACTGGGCTTCCTTCAATTTGGAGCATTTCTAGGGTTTCTGTGATAGTCGAAGTTGGGTCTCAGCTTACAGCAACTTGCCGTTCTCAGATTCGGTGCAATAATGTCGCAAAACGGGAAATTGATGCCGAATCTGGACCAGAACAGCACGAAGCTGCTAAACTTGACGGTTCTTCAGAGAATTGATCCTTTCATTGAAGAAATCCTCATCACTGCTGCTCATGTTACCTTGTACGAATTCAGTATTGATAACAGTCAATGGGTATCAAATCTTACCGATTTTATTCTTTTTAGTTGTTCATACTTTTGTATTCACATACTAATTGTTAGTCTAATTCGTAATTGAATTGTCGTGCAGAGTCGGAAGGATATCGAAGGATCTCTATTTGTTGTCAAGAGGTGATTTTTTTGAAATTTTTAATTTTGATATAATCAAATCAACTAAATCTCAGTTTCTATTTTTTTTTTGGTAATAGACCGTGAAATGTTTTACCATACCACCAAAACAAATTCAAGTACAAGTAAAGAGCACCCATAGACTCAACCTCCTTTCAGATTGTTAAGTCTAGTGAGCCTCAAAGCAAAGCCTAATTACATAAAGAATAGATCAAGTATCCACTCCTCCTATCATATTTCAAGTATCTAAACAACTGTAATCTCTCCCTTATTATATTTTGCACATGCTGTATCATAAACTCTCTACTTACACTTTGTCCTCGAAAAATCTTTTGATTCCTGGCAATACAAATGTTATAAATAGTAGCTCCATGTATAGTTGGAGTCTGCTTTAGTTCCTGTAACCCTCTTCCTTCATCTGTGTCTGGGCTTAATGTTTCCCTCGTAGTAAAACTATGTTTATGCTGTCTGTTAACTTATTATAACCTTCCTCTTTTATCCGACTTTGTGGTTAGATAAAGCTAACATGGAGGAGGTTCATGTTTTTTCGTATCTTCCTTCACTTGTTCTTTGAATTTGATGAAAACAGTGACCTGGCCTTAATACTTAAAAACTCATCTTTACTGGAATATATGTTTTAAGTTTTAATTTTGATCCCTGTACTTCTTTCTTTTGTGATAATTACTTTTTAGCGGGTCTTACAGGAGTTCTCAACCTCGGTTTCAGTTTATTGTTATGAACCGCCGAAATACAGGTCAGTTCATCTGCTTTCAAATAAAGACTATAAACACAATATCTCTTGGCTTGCCTTTTATGTTCAACGGATTTGAATGTAACCTTACTTTTTTGCTGCTGAAAAATGTTCATAAAATTGAAGCATATACATGATTGACTATTTGATGTGGAGACCTCAAGCAATACTATTCATCAGGTTTATAACCTTTATGCATTACAACAATGTAACTTCCCTTTTTTTCCTTTAACAAATAAGTACCAGGGTAGATATACCCATAAAATCAGCCTTGTCATTTGGACCAATCTCTTGCTTTACTCAGATGTGAAGTTCTAAACTTCTAATATGAAGGCTAGCATTTCCCTTATTTTAATGGCTGTCAGCATAGATCCACAAAATGGAAATCAAATAAAAAGCAGAGAATAATGCAGTTGGACTACCATTGAATAAGAGGAGCCATCTTAGAACTTGAAAGACAGATGCCTTCTATGAGGCACAGGAGTACCTTGTCTGGTCGTGTGGTATGCTTAGTCGTGTTACAAGAATTAAATGATGCCCTGGATTGACTTAAGACCAAAACTTCTTACCGCTCGCACCAATAGCAGGAAAAGAAGTTCTCTTTTAATAAAATTGGATAGCTGAAGTCACTCATATTCTAAATAAAATTTCTGGCCTGCATGTTGATCAATTAGTTTAAAATTTCTAAAACCCTGTCTGAATAGTATAATATGGCAACTGGAAGTTACTTCTCAATGCAATTATCAGTTAATAAACGAGGACTGCACGACATCGAGTACTCATTTTGATTTATTTAAAAAGAAAGATAACAAATATCCTTTTTACATTTTCCTGTTCCAAATTCAAAGAACTTCCTGTTATGAAAAGATATCGTGGGGGTACACGTCTACAAATAACAAATAAAAAAATTAACAGAAATGGTGCATGTATCTTAGTAAATTGATGTTTAAAGCTTGTCATATGAATTGCCATATTTACTGAAAGTTGCAATAGGGAGTTTGTGAGTTTTCCTCCTGTGTGAGTACATTTGATCAATTACTGTGCCTTAAAAAGTGTTTATTCTGGTGAGCAGATAATTTGGTGGAGGATCTGTTGGGAGATTTTGAATATGAGATCCAGCTTCCATATTTGTTGTATCGAAATGCTTCCCAAGAAGTTAATGGGATATGGTTTTATAATCAGCGTGAATGTGAAGAAGTTGCAAATCTCTTTGACAGGTAATCTTTCACAGTTTCTCTCCCCAGAAATGATTCCTCTCCTCCCCTTCTCTTTCCTGTTTTAGCATGGGTAAACTTTTTGGTTCCATGTAGGGTGTTAATTCTAGAAAACAAAGCAGTTAAATTTGTCGGATTCAGTTGGTCATGCCTTTGAGATCTTGAAGAGTAGTTTATTTCTGGTACTTATACTTCATTGTGATTCGATGGGGTTCATAAGTTATCATATTTCTCCAAATTGAACTTGCTCAGTGCAGATTCTCCTTTGTTTATTTGATTTGGGGAATACATATGTTTGAATATTTGTTAGTTGATGATTTTTAGATATAGTGGAAACATAGTTTTTGCGAACTTATAAACAATCAGGTGTATAAGCTAGTGTCTACTAGGCCTAGCTTAGTTTCAGGAAATTAGTTTTAAAATATTTTAGAGCCCTACTTGATTCTCTGAAGGAACTGTAGTACGTAATATTTATTGATTTATTAATGAAGATTGTGGAAGTGAGAATTCAGACGGTTGTTGCTTACTGATGCAAATCAGCACTTCCAACAGATCCTAGTTTAGGGAATTGTTCGGCCAGCTTAATGAGAAACATAGGGATCAAAGGAGTACCTTTCTACCACACTGAATACAAACATATCTTCGATGTTTTCTCTTTGTTGATCAACTTTTAAAGCTGTCAATCAATTTAGTGTTTACTGGTTTTCAGGATACTCGGTGCATATTCCAAGGTGCCTACCAAGTCAAAAGTTCCATTGACAAAGAGGTATATAATTTATGCTAACTGAAATTTAGATACCCCCCCCCCCCACACACACAAAAAAAAAAAAGAAGCCACAAA